GCCTCCAGTCCTTTCTCCTCTACATTGCTCTTCACACTGAATACAGAATAATCTTCTAAAATGAAATACAACCACTGTATACTTCATTAAAATATTTAATGGCTCCCCAGAGCATTTGGAAAAAGCCCTAATTTCTTAGCACAACCCAAAGGCTCTTGCTGATGTGGGCCTGCCTCAGGTTCTCTTACCACCTTTTTGATGTTGAGCTCGAATTGCACTAAATGCTTCCAGTCTCCCAAATGCCTCCCAAGTGCTCTCCAATCTTGCACACCGCTGTCTTCCCCACCTTCCCCCCTGAGCATCTGCCCCGACCCTGGATCAATGCCCATCCTCAGAGCTTCTACAGCTTGCTTTCCCCTCTGTCCTGGTTTCAGTCATATCGCATTGTAAATGCACTTTTTCTTGTCTGTAAAGTAAGGAGCCGTGAGCTCCTTGAAGGCAGACATGGTTATTTTGTTTGTCTTAATATTTCCCCACAACCCAGTACAGGGGGTACAGAAGGTTTATTCAACAATTTGTGTAGTATAATGAATGAATAAGTATCTCAGTATTATGTGGTAATATATCAACGATTCAGGCGCTGAGAGAAGGGGGCAGTGGCTGCTCACTGCCCCTCAGGGCAATATAGGCAAAGAGTTTGATAAATAATTAGTTGTGTCTAACATGCAATTCCCATGATTGCTCTAAGTCTTCATCCCTCAGTACATGCCTGGGCTATTTGTTCATACTCTTTTCCTGAGGGGCTTATATTCAGGGTTTTTTTTTAGGTGTCCATGTATGTGTTGCACCCGAGGCAGTGGGCTGTTGCTCTGATGGTTGATTCCAGAGCCCAGATGGAGTCATGACTACCCCAGAGCCACTTTGACCTTGGCCCATGATCTGGTAGTGATGGCAATGGCAGCGACGTTGAAGATGATGATGGAGAAACACAAGAGTTTTTATTTGTGTCAAGTCCAGGCTGGGGATCTGAGTGGTGCCTTTATTCTATAACGGTCATAGGGTATATCCCTTGTCCATGGCCAGCTTGACATGTGTCTGGTCCAAGTCACTAAACACTGTTTCTGTTGCCTTCTAAGGTCCCCCTGGTTTCATTCCAGGATCACTCCATGGAAACATTCAGATCAGGTCACCCTTCTTTTTTTTTCTTTTTTTTGTCTTTTTGTGAGATCGGCCGCACCGTGCTCAGCCAGTGAGTGCACTGGCCATCCCTATATAGGATCTGAACCTGCAGCGGGAGCGCTGCTGCGCTCCCAGCGCCACACTCTCCTGAGTGCGCCATGGGCTTGGCCCCCTCCACTCTTCTAATACCTATTCCTACCTTCTCTCTCTCAAAACCCTGGCACTTAAACTGGCTTTACTCTCAGCTAATGACATGACTTTTTGTTTAGATCAAAAATTGAAGCCATCAGAAGAGAACTTCCACAAGCACTCAGCAACATTACATCTGCCCACCTCCCAGCATCTGTACCCACAACCTTGGCTTCTCTCCTGTTCCTATGGGTGATCCATACTCCTCTCTAAGGCCCATCCCACCTCTCTCACTACTCAAAAATATGGCTCTAGCAGTTCTTCCCTCTCTTCTGCATCACCATTTGTTTCCTCTGAACTGGATCATTCTCTGCAGCATAAAAACTTGCAGTTGTTTCTCTCTCAAAAGAAAAGGTAATTAATCCCCATCTGCTACCACCCCATTTCTCTTGACATTATGGTATTGTGCATACTCAGTGACTCTGAACTCTTTTCGCTTAAATCTAATTCTGTTTGGGTATTAACTGTCACCTGTCCATAGAAATGGTTCTCATCTCATTTATGTATGATGTTTGCATTGCCAAAGGTAATAGTTAATTCTCAATCGCCAACTTATTGACTAATTTGACAGCATTTTACAGACAGTTTTCTCTCTTCCTTTACATACTTTTTTTCACTGGGCTTGAAAGGCACCATTGGCTCCTCTTTCCACTCCTCTGGCCACCGCTTACCAGTCTCTATGTTGGTTCCTCCCCATCTTCCCAAACTGTAGACCACTCCAAATCTTGACCCTCATACCTCACCACTTTTCTATCTATACCTACTCTCTTGGTGATCTCATCCAGCCTCAGGCTTCAAATACTACAGATGTACTACTGCCTCCCAAATATTTAATGTCTGTTCAGACCTCTCCGACCTCTGCCTTTCTCTAGACTCATTACAACTGGCTATGCAGCATGTCCACTTGATATCTACCAGTAGCTTGCTCACACATAATATATTTAAAACTGAGTTCTTAATATTCATTGCCCCACTCCCACCCACCCAATCCTTTAACATCCCTGGGATTCTTCATTCTTCTGTCCCTCTATCTTCCTCTGTCTCAGTATATGGGATCTTCATCCTTTCAGTTTCTTTTCTCATGCTCCACACACATACTTCTTTCTTACATATGGTGCTCAAGCAAATCTGTCAATTCTACCTTCAAACTCCATATCCAGAGTTTGGACTGCTTCCCACCACCAGTGCTACCAGCCTGGCCCAAGCCACCA